GCAGCTCTGAAGGAGGGGTCTGGATAGCCCAAGTAGGTAAATGCACAAACACACCATAGTCCCTCTTTGAAATCTGCTTCATAATATAGTATCCCCTGGTTTTAGAGTACTTCATAGCATCCATTTGCTCCTCTGATACATTCTGTAAAACAGATTAATGAAACCAAATAAATAGTAGTGAGTCTGTCACAGTAGTTAAGTCTCAGTTCAAAGTAACATCTTTCATCTTCAAGAATATTTTTTGGTAGAACTGAAGGAGTAAAGAGTCACAGTTCCAGGGATCAGACTCTTTGATTATAAGACACACAAGCAGTTTGCCATGGTTCATTAATATACAGCTTTCTCATCACTGGTCCAGTGTTAGTGATTAAGTGATATACTTATTCCCTGATTAAATGTTTTCTTCCAATTTCCCAGATTTCCTGTGGGTTTCTATCCATCATTGTCATATCTGCACTGTTCTCCAAAGAAGTAATTTACCTGATTTTACAGCTGAGTGTTTCTATGATTCTAAAACCCAGGTGTACAAAAAACTGTTCCTTTTATTCTGTCAGAATTGTTAGACTTGCTTTTGCTACTGTGAAAATTATAACCAAATGGAAAATACAGGCAAAAAACTAGAAAGCATAGACCAACCTGCAGATTAAAAGGAAAGACTAGTACATGGGTACTACCCATTTTTTATTTTGCTAAAATAAATATCTCTCCTGAAGACATGTTGCTTTCCAAAAGACATTTAGTTTTATTGTGCTATCTGCAAATTAATTGAACAACTCATAAATTAACTGACATACTTATTTATGCAGTAACCAAGGAGTAATTTCTTCCCTTCTGCTTGTTTTCAGTATAGTGGGTTAGTTCCACGGGAGAGCTGGGACATGTGGCATCCAACCCTGGTGGCTGAGGCCCTGTTTGCAATCGCAAACATCTTTAGCTCCCTACGCTTGATTTCATTATTCACTGCAAATTCCCACCTGGGACCTCTGCAGATATCTCTAGGAAGAATGTTGCTGGACATTTTGAAGTTTCTCTTCATATACTGCCTTGTGCTGCTAGCTTTTGCAAATGGATTGAACCAGCTGTACTTCTACTATGAGACAAATGAACCCGGCAACTGCAAAGGAATACGATGTGAAAAGCAAAATAATGCATTTTCAACGTAAGTGGCTGATCTATTTCTATCCACACCTTCTGCACCCAATATTTTAATTACTTAGATGTTGTTTGCAGGAAAGAGGCTGTCTCATTTTTATTGGTATTACAGCGGTGTCCTGACACATCTAAAATTACCCTAAAATAATAAAAAAAAAATATCACTACAGAGCTCTAGAATAAGGTTCATCCCATACGACAGTGAAGTCTGTAATATTCAAGCTATCTCAAAAGATAAAAAGATAAAGAGGAGAAGGGAATAATACGAGATTAGAAAGTACATATTTAGAATTAAGGGAAAAAAGGTCATCAGATCAGAACTTGCCTATCCAGACAGCTGTTGCTCTGCATTTCTTCCATGACTTCCTGTGAGCATTAAATAAGTTTAGTGTTCTAAAACATAAAAATTCCTTGTAGATGAGGCAGGAAAAACATTCAGTCCAGGCTTCTACTGACACTGAGCCTACTCCAAATAATCAAATATTGTATTCTAATTCCTGTTTTAAAGTTTACTTATTTTTATTTTACTTAAAAATCAATTTTATTTCACTCTGTTGTGTAGTTTGTCTATGATACCAAGACACTACCAAATGAATACTAATTCTCTATCTCATCTTTCAACTTCCAATCTGAATCAAACTCCTGCTGTAAATACCTGTTCCCTATTAACCTTCTATGAATCATACCTAGGCTGTTTTTAAAATATATTTATTACAAATGACTTCCCTCTCAAAGTAAATAATTTTATAAAAATAACACCTTTTATATCACCTTAATCAAGTAACTGGTGCAGCTACTAGCACAGCATATTTATCTTGCATAATAATACCATCTTATTCAGGTCGAAAATTAGTGGGAATTGAACAGAAATTCACAATGAAATTTGTCAGAGCTGAACATTGAAGGAGGCAGCATTATTCATCTGGGAAATAGCGGGGGACTGCTGGTATTAGTGCTAGAAGTTGGTGTCGAGGCAGACCATGATGCTTCATGAGCCTTTTCTGCTACTGCGAGCAGGGGAGGAAAATGGTTGTTCACTTTGTGCTCAGGCAAGAGTAAAGGGTGAAAAAGGCAGCTGTCCAAAATAAAATCTCTAAAACTGTATTTATCCCTCAGTTGTTGGAACAAAATCATCCTTACTCACAGGTTTATTTACAGATTATATTTTGTATTTTTGTAAAATATGTTTTGTATGTTTTGTATTTGTATGTTTTGAAAAATATATATTTTATTTATTAAGCCACTGTTCGACTAGAAAAATATCCCATATATTTTTCCTATATTGTGGCAAGTGTCATTCCTCTCAGTCAAGTCAAGGATTTTTCTGTTTGGGGAAAAACAGAACAATCAGAACAGTACATGTATTGTTATAAATCTATTCCTTTTTTGGTTTTGTTTTTCAGATTATTTGAAACGTTGCAGTCATTATTCTGGTCTATATTTGGACTCATCAATCTCTATGTGACCAATGTGAAAGCAAGGCATGAATTTACTGAATTTGTTGGGGCCACCATGTTTGGTACCTATAATGTAATCTCTCTGGTTGTTCTACTCAACATGCTAATAGCCATGATGAATAATTCTTACCAACTTATTGCTGTAAGTTGTTCCTTATCCTTCGATCATTTATAATATATAACTTCTCTTTGTTCCTACATCCCATTTTTGTGGCAGTAAATCTTTTTTACAGGCAGGATATTGGGACAAATTCTCTGATTTGTACCAATTCTTTTGCACTGTTCTGGAAGGACACGGATGGATTGGGCAGAGGGGAAATTCCCCACAGCTCTGAATGGGGAAGAGGTGGCCTTACTGCAGAACCCAGCTGGTGGGTTTGAGAAGGGTGTCCTGAAGTTGCTGGAGAGTGACATAGGCTACAGCCCTGCCCAAGCTGCACTGCGCAGAACCTTTCCTGAGAAAGAGACTCTGCCAAAGATTGTTCTGTCTCTGCTTTGTTTTTAATACATTATTGATATTTGAAATGCTGTCATTTTTGGATATTTATATATCATGAATACACAGTTAATAGAAATTAGATGCCAATGTTTCATGGACAATTTTGGACCCATCAGCAACTCAAAAAAAGGTCGTGACTTCTCATTGAGCAGTGTCCTGTTTTCTCCTTTAGTGAAAACTGGTTTTATCCTTATCAGAGATATAGGCTTATTTTTATTTCCCAGCTTTCTATTAAGGAGACTAATGAAAATAAACACTGATTCATCATATCATAATTCAAATGTGATCATGCAGAAAGCAAACAAATAGAAGAAAGCTTCACAGTATTAAGATTTTAAATTGTGCCTTTTTTCTAATCTGGAAATGATGATTTTTTTCCTCGAAAAGAATGCTGACTACATGTGTTTATAATGTTGGATAGTAAAGTCTGGTACACAATATCACAACATACTAGCATTAATCAAAGTTCAGACTGCAGGTAGAATACTTTTCCTACTACAGCTTCTAAATTGCTGGGTTTGATTAATGTATATTTGGCTAAATAATAAAAGCTCGGGCTAGACCTGTAGTTTAAGTTCTTGGCTATGATGTTTGTTGTCCAAATCTAGTATCAGAGATTTAAACTTCTTGTTCAGCTGCTGGGATTTAGCAATATTTCCATGGACATCAGGTTTGATCTTTTCAAACTTTTCAAAATTATACAAGATTATGTAGAATCTATAGGAAATAAAATATCAAATAAAAATTAAAGAAACCTAACCCCACAAGCTATTCCAAATACATAATTCTGAAGTAGGAGAAAAAAAAATACTCCACTCAATAGTTTTAAGTAGCCTTATGATTTGTTGGATAACCTATTTTTGAAATTCTGGGGCTAGCAAGTACTAAGAGAGTTCATGAGACTTGAAGACTTGTTGAAGCTGTTACACAGCAGAGTAATTAGATGAGCTGCTATTATAACAAAACATCTCTTCCAGAAATGTAGCATTTTTTCTGCTGTAATTATCCTTTGTTGGTTGAGAGACTTTTAATTATTTAAAAGCCTGTAGCAAGGAAAGAAAGGTTGGAAGTGGATATATGCTGTACATATCTAACATCTCTGTATTGAAGTAAATCAGCTTAGCTTTGCTTTGTGTTAAAGACCTTCTGTCAAAAGAAGATGCCAGCAATTTAACAAGAAAATTCATTAGTATTTCAGGGTTGTTCTAATTTTAGGTTTTCAGATTTCTGTAGAGGTTTGTTTCACCTCCTTAATTACAGCAACATCTGTGCTGGTGTTGTGTTTCTTGTGCGCAGGATCATGCAGATATTGAGTGGAAGTTTGCTCGAACAAAACTCTGGATGAGTTACTTTGAAGAAGGAGGAACACTGCCCACTCCTTTTAATGTCATACCAAGCCCAAAGTCTCTGTGGTACCTGATCAAATGGTTATGGAGACATCTTTGCAAGAAAAAAATTAGAAGAAAACCAGAAAGTTTTGGAACAATAGGGGTAAGTCCTGTGTTTTACTCTACCTGTAATCCTGTTCTTTGCTATATGGACGAGTCTTTCTCAGCCTTACAGAGCACCCAAACTGTCAAGTAATATTCAAAAAGTCAAAGAATAATTCTAGCAGAAAATGTTTATTTTTTACATTCATGGCAATGTATTTGACTGAAGGGAAATCATCTTTGTATTCCTGTGCAATGACGTTATGAGCCTTGACTGTGCCTCTACTACAGATAATGGAAGAAAGATTAAAAGCAATACAAATACAAGAGTTCAAACGTATATACTTGTCTACAAATCCCAGAGGGGTGTTTGATGATGTCTAGCTCAAGTGTCACAGTTCAAGTATTATTGACATATCATAAACGACAGACGTGTGTAAAGTGTTCATCATGGGATATTCTGTCTCTCTGTTCTCTCTCTCTACATGTTATTAAATGGGTTTACCATAAAAGCTTTTTTAACAAAAGCTGTTCCCATTAAAGAAAACATTTTGAAAGGTAACAGCATTTACTTGGAATTGCTTACTTGAATTTACAGGTAGTTATTTCAGAATCACATTGCTACTGTATTCTAATTGTGCTGATTAGCAGTGAAAATTCTAGAAAAAAAGAGGGCAAAAGACACACAAGGCACAAGGGGAGCAAGAGTAGTCCTACACCTGGATTCAGGATGTCCCTGTGAAATGTCTCAGTCACAGACTGTCTGTGGTAGCTGCAGTGGGTAAAGCAGATTTGATTTTGTCTCTCCTAGCATTATCCAGTTGAGATACCTCAGTCAGCGGCACAGTTTTTCTGTATTGTCAGAGGAAATATCCAGGCAACAACCTCATCCACCAACAACTAAATGTCTCTAGTTACGTTTTCTGTTTTTCCCATAGCAAGTGAGTCCGTACCTCAGTAATTAGAATGCATTTAGCCAACTCCAACATAAAAAAAAAACTATTGTGGGTAAAATATGGATAATGGCACTTTCCTTATACCACAGAGATTTGGTGAATAGAAATGTTTTCAAGTCTGTTAGGAACTCAGATAGCAAAGCATTAAGTGAGTGTGTGAGTGTCATGTGTGGGTAAGGGGAAGAAGAAAGGGTTGTAGTCCGCATGCTGTTGACCCTGTCAGAGAAGCTTCCATTCATTTCAAAGTAGGCAGAGGATACAATACAATTCTTTGCTGGATCATTACTCTATCGACTGTTTCTTTGTATTTCTTCCCAGTTTCTTGCGAAGTGAGTAATAAGGATAGGCTTTTCTGACATAATGTCCTGTCATATCCTGGTATTCAGTTTAATCACCAGATATAACTGGAGGAACAAGTTTACAGGGGTGTACAGATATATGATAAAGAGGAAGTGACATATAAACCTAATTCACAATTCCTATGGTGATGAATGGATTTTGTCCTCTTTGTGGAAAGCTTCTAATCAGGTTTATTGCAATATCCTGATCTTGTTGGCCAGTATCTACACTGTGAAAGCAAAATATGCTTCACTTAGCTGTCATAGTTGTAGATAGGAAAGAAACAGCTGAGAAAGGAAGCTTATAAGCATGAGGATGACATTGAAACAAACCAGTAATAGACTACAAGAAAGAAACACTGGAGAAAACCCATTGAATTTAATATTAGAAAAGTAATGAAGAGACACAAACAGTGATTCAGATAGAAATAAAATTACATGAGCTAGCATGAATGGTGAAGAATTCCAAGAATAAAACATCACTCTGTAACCTAGCAAAGGAGAGAAGTAAATGTAAAGACCAACAGGAGGAAAAACTGAGATTTTGTTAGAAAGAGAAAATCAGAATAATGATGTATTAGTGTGTGTGGGGGGGAGGGGCGGCTGAGAGTGGGCAGTGCTTCTAGGCGTTTGTTAAACATTTGATAGGGATGATTAGCTAGTGGAAACCAATAGAGTGATATTAAAATTAATGGAGGAATGCCAGCATATAGCAGATGAGGGTCTAGGATTGGTTAACACAATATCCCTGTTTGACTGAGACAGATCCCTAACAACCTTATATATCCCAGCAAAACCTTCAGGAAAATATTTTCTGACAGACATTTCATCCAGGATGCTTTTTTTTTTTTCCCTTTTTTTCCATCTCAAAGTGCAGGTCTGAGGGTAAACTCCTTCCTGGCTCTGTGGAATAATAAAGAAAGAGACAGGGTGCTCTCTGCCCTGTGCTGAATGGCATGGTAAGGAAGGGGGTTCAGAAAAATCACTCCTGATTCTTGCAGCCACCTCCTGCTTGGGTACATAAATACTAACTTCTAGAAATTAGCAGCTTGGGTTTTGGAAAACTGGTTCAGCAAAGGGTCAGAGAGCACAGACTCTATACAAAAAGCTGGTTGGGAATTTTTCCAAATCAAATTTTCTTTCGGATTTACTAAAAAAAAAACTCCACCACCACCAACAAAAACCTTAAGCACCAAACTTTTTCATTACTGTATACCAGTTTTAAAGAGGCTTTTGTTGGGAAAGACTTTACAGCTTCAGTGTGGAATTTTTGTTTGAAGACAGAAGGAGCCAGTGCCAAGTAAAACAAGTAGTTTGGGCTAAGGGAGAGCCAGGTTCATTTCTGTTCTCCAGTGGATATTTAATTATTTACCCCAAGCAGAACAGCTCTGACAGGAGAGATTTCCATCTCAAAATCATTAAGACTCTGGGGGGGAAGGGTGCTGTCTTGGGAGAACAGAAGAGGAAGAGATGAACCTGGCTTCCATGTAAACCACTGATTGCTGAACTGTTTGTGAATGGAATACAGAGGTGAGGGAGAGATAGGAGACAGTTTTGGTTAATTTCTGTAGAGTAAATTAAAAAAAAAGAAGCGTAATAAGAGAAAGCTGAAATCTCAAAGTCTGTGAGACAATAGGGCCATATCCATTGCTAGTTTTCACTACAGGATAGGTACTTAGCTGCAAAGATATCTGTGAGTATAGCTGCTCACCAGCAGAGCCATCACGGCAATAAGTCTTCCAGCTGTCTGGAAAAAGTGAGTGGCTGTGGCTGACCAGGCAGATTCTGTCCACACATCTGCGTATCTCACGTAACTATGAAGTTCTTCAGCTAGCTCCTCAGCTATAACAGAAGCCCCATTAGGGCTATCTGAATTTGGAACATCTTGCAATTTCAAGGTCCAGTTATGCACCCAAACTCCAAAATAGGATAAGGTGGGTATGCTCTATGCACTCTGATTTCCATTAGGAAAATCTGCCCAAACCCATCAGGGTCTGAGAGCCACTATTCACTCCAGCAGTCTTGACTACACACAGTTTGGGTAGATGTAAACCAGATGCTGTTAACTGGGTTGGATGCTACTTAGCAGTTGGCTGGGATTAAACCATGACACCCCATGAGGTTAAGTCATCTGAGAACGAATGGACACACGATGGTGATCTCATGGTTTGTCATGGGGGAATGCGCTGCTTTCTGGTTTTGAAAAACTTATTCCCATCACCCACAGATCATCCTTCAGTGTCCAGAACTTCAGTTGTCAAAAAAACCTGCATCACAAATTAAATTTAGAACCTCTATGCCCTTTCCACTGAAGGGAAATGAATTTTCTCTGCCTTTTGTTCAGGGATCTCAGATGACAGATCCCTGACTGTCTGAGGAATCTCCCCTCTAGTATCTCTGGCCTCAGATCTGTGAGATAAACTTTGTTGGGACCTATTTCTTTTCACTGAGTCCTGCATTATGAACTCTGATTCCTCCTCTATGACCAGTACTGTGGAAAAAGCGCTAATGAGTCAGTTTCACACTAATTTTCTTACTTTGGCTATATGCATGTATGGATGCCATGTTGTCTGTAAGGCAACAAAACATTTTGTTCTGAAGCCTCTACATGCTAACTTTCCTGTTAGGAAGTTCTAATCAGCAGTGACATACTGTGGTGTTTTCCAGTAGAAAAAGCAGTAGTGTACATCCAAAGACTGAGTTGGTGCTAGAGGTTACAAAACAGATGATAGACAATGCAGCTGGTTTGTAAAAGAGGATCAGGCATGCTATCTGCCTAAGAAACCTCGGTACCAAAAAGCCAGAAATCATGACCTAGGAATGAATCAAGGATGTATTAAGTATGTCACCAACAATCCACAGTAAAAGGATATATACATGTAGACTTGAAAGTTCATTATATGCAGGCAGGTCATAAATAAAGGGTTTTGGGTCAGGATAGTTTATAGCAGACATGGTAGTGAAATGATTTATCTGGCTCACATGAAGAAGAAAAATGTCAGTAGAAATAAATATGATATTTTTGCTTGGAAGGACCATCTACAGTGGTGCTTATAACAAAGCCATCATGGGAAAGAACAGGGTCTGCAGGGAAGTGAGGTGGCTCTGAAGAGAGCTAATTAATTTGCTTCTGTGGTTCTGCCATCCTTTGTTATACTGGGATAGCTGAAGCAGTGGGTGGTGGAGTCAAGGGGAGCTTATTCAAAGGACAGGTTTTTTCCTCAAAAGCAACACGCTGCCCAGCCATGCTGGTGGCAGCTTCTCCAACCACAGCTACAGCTGAAGGAAGGCCAGGATGCTTACATGTGATTTACTAGTGTTTCAGCTTTGCTATTAATCAGACAGGTATCTTCTACCTCTCAGATTTCAGCACATTTTTATTTTCTGTCATTTTGACATATCCCAGATATGCAGCATTCTCTTTAGCTATTATCACAAAGTATCTCCTACACTTAAAACTCTGAAATAACAGCGTGTGCTTTATATATATATATAGCAGTAATGTTAACTTTGTTAGCTCACCTTTGCAAATGCCGGATTAGTAACGTAATTTCATTGATTAGGCTGAAGTTTTTCTGACTGCCCAAGGCGTTTGGTGTCTCAAGCCTACTCCTGTTAGCATCTGAAATCCACTGCAATTTGAAAACGGTGTAAGAAAAGAAACCCCAATCCCACTGGAATAAACTGTGTGATTTTCCTCAAATTACATTCCACTTTATGTCTGATCAGTAACCAAAAAGTGTTTTACCCATAATTTTAAGTATTTTGGAAGAGAAAATGGAAAGGATTGTCAGGGATATCTTCAGTTTTGGGGTTTTTTTTGTGCATCTAATGTTTAGATAAACAGTTACCTCTTTTCTAACTATCCAGATATTTATGCCATATTTCCAAGTAACCTGCATGATAATTATTATAATTTGTCAGAGAAAATCTCCTTTCCATTTCTCATATTCTTTATCTTCCAATTGGAAAATGATGCAACTTCTAAGTCAATATAAGCATTTTATGTTTTTTCTGGAATGTGTGTTATTGAAAATTGAGAGAAGAAATAACACCTTCCACCTGGGATGGTAATAAGTTATCTAGGATGTTGTATAGCCAAGGACTATGTCATGGGGAAACGTCTTTGTCAACATGGATAAATTCTTACCCTTTATAGGGATGCTTCTATTCAACGCGAGGAATATATCCCATGACTTCAGACAATCTTTATATTTTCTGGGCCTTTATCACTAAGTAGTCTGAAGTCAAATGAACACATTAGATTTGAATTCCTGCTTTATAAAAGATAAAATCTTGATAAAACATTTCAAAAGAAGTAATTTAACATTATCAAATTTTTGACTGTTGGAGAGATTTTTCTTCCAAACAGTGCAAGGTACTAGGAATGGTTTGAGCAGGACAACCAAAATAATTATCAGTTCTAGTAAAATAACTATTAAAGCTGCCTAAAGGTTATTAGTGCTCCTTTTGGAAAGTGCTAAAAGTATCCCCTTCGGTTTCATGATCTCATACAACTTTGTTATTACAAGAGTGTTTCTTCCCCTGTTGCTGTTTTTAGTCGGATTTAACTTTTATCCCTTTGTCAGCCATAGTTTTCAACACTTCATATACATAGCCCAGCAGTTACTTGAAACAAATTTTGAACAACCACAAATTAGACTATGACCAGGTAGAGAAAAGGAGACCGGCTGAGAACTAAAGAAGGACAACAAGAGTGTTAATGCCATTTTATTTATAGTGAATAGCTTGATTTTCAGATGTGTTTAAGCAAAGATTCATTCTACTTTCAGAAGAATCAAAAGGCAGTTATGGAGACTGACTCTGAACATTTTAACAGGAGATAGAGAACTGATGGGGGTAATAACTTTAATAGGTTATGTGTATGCATAATTCCCTGTGCAGTATGTATGTGTCTGTGTATGAAAACATGCCATTAAAAGCATTCCCCTTCAGCTTCTCAGTGATAAGGAGTGAAAACAATTCTCAAGTGCAGTAGAACTGTTCTGGGCATGTTAGTACGTGAATTAATGTGTTTACATAGTCATCCCTAAAGCCACTCCTTGACGACCTTGCATTGTATGGAATAGCCGCAGCCTTTGTTTCTGGGAGTTTCAGAATCGATTGCAAAAAAAGGATAAACCTGATTTAGCTTTTCCTTGTTATGGCTACAGAATTAAACCTATGCATTTATTTGACATTTCACTGTAAAATAAAAAAAGCAGACAGCAACAGCAGAAAGTCTTCTGCAAGACAAGAATCAGCATTTTTTTTATTTATAGGAGTTATTAGCATTACCTGAACTGAAGTGCATTTCAATTACACCTTAAAGTGTTTTTCCCTTTACCTGAGTCAGATCTCTTAGCCTCGGACTCCTTTGGTGCTCTCTCAGCA